GTCAGCCGGGTAGTGCACCCGTTTTGAACGCTTCACCATTGAGGAAGCAGCTTCGCCCAAACGATGAATGCTCGAGTGAACGATTGAGATGGATCTGAAGTGGATCTTCCTCGCTGGCTAGTTGTTCAGCGAGATCGCCAGTGTCTGACCAAACCGAGAAGTTGGAATCGGAGTCTGAATCGGTGAACGGGGAAGAAGGGAGAGAGGACGATGAAAGCCGCCGGTTGCCCTCTTTCTCGCGTGAGGAATCCAGCAGCACAGAATGTGAATCAGGCGAGGGCCGGGAGTGAGGAGAAAGGGACCGGAGGGGGATTGCGGTGGGGAGCCTGGGTAGCGTTGAGGAAGAAATGGTGGCGGTGGGAGGTGAGGGCTTGCGGGAGCAGCCCTACGGTGGAAATCGTAGAAGGGGAGGAAAATAGAGAGGTGCAAGTGTCGTCGGAAGAGTGTAGCGTGATCTCTCAAACGAAGGGGGGAGATTGTGGTCGGTCAGGTGTGATCGAGACCAGGAGTTCCGCAGCAAGAACGGGGCTACGTTGTTGGTTAGTTAGGGAGTGAGCCAAGGATGAGAAAGGAACGCTGACATCTGACAAGACAGAATGGGAAGGGCATCGAAAGATTCGGGTTTGTTGTTGGATTGGCTGGCAGACGATTTGTCGGGGAACTTGATTGATATTTCGGCCATAGGCTGTCCGGATGGACTTATCGATCGAACACTCCCTGGTCGGCAGGGAAGAATGTTTCTGCGGGCGCAAGCCTTGATCCCACGTTGGTTTGTGGAGGAGTGAACAACTGCAGCGACAAGGCACTCTGGCATCGTCGGTACCTGATTAAAGTACTTTTCTCGATGCAGGAGTGGACACATGGAGTATGAGAACAAAGAGTGATAAAAATAAGCTCTAGTTGTTCCCGTAAACTCAAATCAAACCAAAATCCTACACTCATTTTTTTCACTGCTTTTTATCTCAATAATTTGAATTCAGCAAAGGCCACAGGCCACACAGCATAGCCTCCCTGGTGGTTAACTCCCATGCACCCAATTTTTTATTTTATATTCATGTCCTATTACTAGCTCCTGAT